AGGAGCAGCAGAGGCAGGAGCAGCCCAGGAGCACCCAGCTCTGTCAGCACCTCAGGGCACCCTCCTGCCCCTGCAGCCCGACCCACGGCTGTGCCGGGCTCGGAGCGGTTCCCACAGGGCTGCACAACAACGTGGGGCGCTGCCCTTCCCCTTCCCACCCCAGCGAGGAAAAGAAACGCTTCAAAGAGAGCAGCGCTGGTGACAGAGCTCTACCCGCTGCCATTAAACACTTCCTTAGTTCAGCTTCCAGACCTGGGGTTATTCCCTCCTGCTGGGGGGGAATCCCGGGGCTGACAGAGCAATTCACAGACCGGGAACCGGGGGCAGCAGAGGAGGAGCCGCTTGGCAGGGCTGGGGCAGCAGCAACGGGAGGTTTTTGCCACCTAGTGGTGCTGAGAGAGCAGCTTTGGCACGAGCCCTGCCTGTGCGACCCTTGTTTCTTTCCCTTCCCTTTTCCCAGGACCTGTAAGGCAGGTGAGGAAAGGTCAGAGAGGAGAGAAAGGTGGTTACCTGGTAGAGTGAGTCAGCTCCGATTTCGTTCTGTTCTGGTCTGAGTTGGCCTCCAGATCACAAGTGAAAAGAAAACAACACACAAACCACAAATCAAGGGCTTTCCTTCAAACCCCAGGGAACATTTTTTTGCTCAAGGAAGTGGTCCAAAAACATTCTCCAGGCTGAACATAAGAAAGCAATATAAAAAGCCTTGAAGCCAGGAGGGGAATCCTTTCCCCTGGATGCCTTCACTTCTGTGTGTCCCTAAAGACAGAGCCTGTAAGTGGAGCCCTGCAGAGGGCTTCCCTGCCCTGCCCTTCAGAGCTCAGGAGCTGTAGGAGGAGACAAGCATAGAACAGGGTGTTTGAGTTTGATCTGCTCGAGAGCAAAGGGATATCAAGGCCACCATGGAGTGCTAGATATCTCCTGCTTGTTGCATGAGGAGGAGGGCAGGAATTGGTAGCCATCAGAGCTGTGTCCAGCTGTGCTGCTCAAGCAGGAGCACGGGGGAAACGTGCTGTGCATGTCTATGAGACCATGGAACATCCTAAGGTGTGTGTCAGGGTTTCAGCTGGTTCATCTTGGTCTGGTGAGAGCAAGGAAAGAAAGGAAGAGACTTCACAAGCTTTTATTTGAGGGTGCCATGAGTGTACAGAAAAAAGCACTAGGGGTACAGCTTCTGTGAGGGGTTGCATCTACTTTCTGGAGTTCACAGAAGGCAATCTTTGTAAAGTGCAGGTGAAATTCATTGGGCCTACTTGGTTTTACTCTCCTCTTCTACTTTGCACGTTTCAGCCACATTTCACTGCTCCAAGCATCAGTATCCTCTTCCCTTCAGAGTGGATTGTTTCCAGGGGAAGTTCATGGTTGTTTTGGTTTCCATTTTCTCCCTTGCCAGCCTTTTGCACGGCAGCCCTTGTGAACTGCTGCTAACTGCTTGTATGCTGCAGAGGTGGGAGGGGAAAGAAAGCAGAAGCTTTGTTCAGAGCCTGACCTGGTCCTGGGTTACTGGAGGTGACAAGATGTTCACTCAGTGGGAAGTAAAGATGCCATGGAATCCATAAGGCATTTGCACTGGGACTTCTGCTCGCCCCAGCTCTCTGAAGGTCTCTGCATCCAAGACGAGCAGGAAAGCACTTTGATTCTGCAGGATGAGAAGGAAGCCAGAATGAATGCCCATGCTGGAATGCATCCCTCTGTCCAACCCACCTACATCTGTCACACACAGGGGAGGCCCAAGTGTACAACCAGACCATATGGTCAGGTACAACCAGGCCATGCAGACTAAACCTGTAAGACAGTTGGCCAGGAGCACTGATAGTCACTGACACCCCTCAGAAACCCTGACACCCCAAGACACACTCCCACTCTCCTAGCTGTGCTTGGCAGCTGCAGAAGCACAAACCAGGGGGAACGTAGGCTAGAAATGTCTGCCAAAGAGCCTCAAATGCAGTTTTGGGGTTTAGAAAGCATGTCTAACATGATGTGACTTTGACAAACTAGCAGCAAGAAGTTACCTCAGTGGGGGAGACCACAGCAGACAAGATAACTCCACTGTCTTCTGCCGTGGCATTAGGCACTGGCACAAACACAGGCTCTGATGGGTAGCATCCATCCTCCTCCCAAACCTAGCAAGCACAATAACACATGGGTGGGGTTCATTCCATTAATGCTGGTTTACTACAGTTAGCAGAGTTACAAGTTGTTGTGCTTCCCACAAAGATACCCTGGGCTGGTGGGAGGTGTCCCTGCCTGTGCAGGGGGTTGGAACCAGGTGACCTTGAAGGTCCCTTCCAACCCAAACCAGTCTGTGATTCTATAGTTCAACCTTTTAATTCTCTTGATTCCAGTAGTGTGATGGTGTGACTGCTGTGCCAGGCATGTGCAGACAGGCAGGAGAAGGGTTGGTAGGACTCCCTGTGTCCAACAGTTTGCACAGGTACAAGCTACAAGCTCGGGAACCACCACCGTCCCAGCAGGCACAGCCACCTTTTGAAGAAGACCCCTAAAGTGTCTAGTAAATGACATCTCTTCAAGGCCAGTTCAGTGGAGTGATTCCCACTATTGAAAAGAGAGAATCTTACTTCACCTCACCTTGAAACTCTTGGTCTCTACATCGACCTTGATCAGGGAATCTCCCACCAGATGCCGAAAACCGCATCCGTAGAAGTAGCGGTACCTCCTGCCATTGTACCCAGAGTAGTTGATCTGGGGGAACTCCAAGCCCCCAAACTTTTCAAGGCCCTCAGAGTACAGATTTTCATGCGTGCACCAGACCTAGAAGAAGCAGGCATGACGGGAGTGTCAGTTTAGCTGTAGCTGGGCAGAAGACTTGTCCCACCAAACCCCTGCACAACCACTGTGGGAAGGAGATGCTTAAAGATGAGCCTGAGATTGGACTGAGGCAGGTGGAAGCACCAATCCTGTCTCCCTCATCTGTTTCACCCAGAGAACTTGTAAACTTCCAGAATCAGTCTCATGTGAAAAACAAGGAGCGAGTCCATGTGTTTATTCCTGCACTGCTGGCTCAGGAAATCCCAGGTCCAGCACTCAGCAATCTGAGGCACAAAGGACACACAGATATGACTCCTCTCAAGGTGGACAACACATGTTCTGCCACCACCAAATGCCACTCTGCAGGGCTGTTCAGAGCTGGAAAAAGAGCAGTTCTGTACCCAGGTGAGAGCAGGAAGGATTCTGTTACTGAAGAAGCTCAAGTCTGACCAGTGGTTGCAGAGGCCACTTTGAGCAAGTCACAATCTGTCCCTCCTCTCTCACTTAAAGCCACGTGGCTTTGTGCTGAAACACTCAAGTCCCAGCTCAGTAAGGACCAAACCTTGCTGGGTGGGCAAGATCTGAGAAGACAACAGCACAGGATGATAACTGGTGCAGGCAGTCTCACCCCAGCCGTAAATGCAGCCACCTCAGCCTGCAGTTCCTACCTTGCCCTCTGCATCCTTCACAGCCCTCGCCGAGGTGTAGGACAGAGGGTTCAGGTCCTTCCCCACGGGTGTGTCTGGGTTCACATGCAGAGGGAGCACAAAGCGACGTGGGAAAGCTCGTGATATTGAGGCATAAACCTATTACAGAGACACGAAGTTATGGTGACAGCTTAAAATGCCACTCTGCTCTAAGTGCCCTTCCTGGGGCACCATTCTCAAGTTTCAGACATTCCTGCCACCCCTGAAACCATCTTCTTTCTGTTGTGTGTTTTACCAAGTCCTGGTTAAGGGCTCTGCTTGTGCTGGTGCTTCACAAATTGCTGGGAAAACAAAAAGATGGTTAAATGGGTCAGCATTGCTTTCACAGTAATTAATGCTGGGTTGGATATGCAAATCACTCAGTTATCCTCCAAATTGGGACACTGCTGCACTGTATTTTATTCAGTTAGGACAGACTTACATTGATTCTTTCTACTTCAGTGGCAGGAGTTAGATAATCAATGCCTTGATTGTCTTCTTTCCATTCTCAGCTACAGATGGACTTAAGGTTCAGGGAGTCTGGGACATTGGTGGGTTTATTTGGGGAGCAGAGGAGAGAGCAAACCAGCAGCCCTCATGGTGGCAGGCATCCAGCAGGCTGCACAAGAGGAGGAATTCCAGCAATTCCACCATTGCCAGTTCAAGCCAAGTTTAAAATACATAATGCTTCCAAATATTGAGCCTTCTAAATAATACAGATGGCAAGGATCGTGGTTTTCAGTTGCTTCAACCTGAAACTCACAAGCTCAACCTGAAACTTCACTTTAACCAAGTGTGTTCATCTTGAAACTCTGTTTTCAATACTTCTGTTTAGTATAGCCCACAGCAGATTGATTCTTTGAGGAACTCTGCCTGACAAAATATGGTTTCCTCAGCAAGCAAAGGCCCTAAAGATGATTGGGGGAAAACAACCAAATCATGCTCGGGCATGTCTTGGCCTTTCAGTGCAGCCTAAATTTAAGATTCTGTTCTGAAATTACTTGCACTCGTGTGTGTGGTTTAATGACTCTACTGCTTTTCAGCTAAACAATGTGGATGTTGGAAACACTTGCCTAATTATGTTGACCTAAGGACACCTTCAGGCTGATGAAATGACAGCTCTTTTGTGCTCCCAGAAGGCTGAACAAAAGCTAGAACCAGTTTGCAGATCACATGGTCATATTAACACTGTGGTGTACTTGAATTAACCTTGAAGGAGCAAGGGAAAGCAGGAGAAATTACCCTACAGGGACACAGCTACATTCTTGTCAGAGCAGACTTGCTTCTAGGCAGCTCAGAACACAGACTGGGGAAGTTCAGATGTGCCTGGACATGTTGTGTGGAGACACAGCCCTTCACCCACCATATGGTGTTTCCAATAAACAGCTGCAGTACCAGAAAGGGAAGGCACCCCCACTTTTCCAAGGTCTGAGCTATGCAAAATGATGCCTCTTACAGGGCTTTAAATAGTGCTTTTTGAGAGAGCCAGGCATAAAAAATGGTTGATGTTGCTGGAGTGAGGTGAAGGTGAGCAACAAGGTAGCAGCTCCGGTGCTGTTTGTGTTCCTGGAATTTACATAATAAAGGCTGGTTTTCCGAAGCAAGGCCTTTAAACAACAGGGTTTCTCTTTGTTTTGCCCTTTAGAAGTCATGCAAAAGCTTCTTTTGCATCCTGACTTGTAGGGGGAATGTTTTATTCCCCGGGGATATGGAAAATGAGCATCATTAAAAATGAGATTGTAGAGCAGGATGTTCAGGCTGATGGAGACCTGTGTCACACACCCCTTTTACAGGTTTCAAGGGAATGTTCCATGGAGATTGTCTACTAAGAGATTTTTAAAGGAAAGAAATATACCAGCATATCAATAGATTGCAATTTTAGTTTTTCCATACAGCTGTGGTTCCTTTCCCCAGCTTTTCCATCGTGCTCTCTAGGCAACAAACCCACACCTTGCTTCAGGAAAGAACTCCAGCAGCATGGATTCCCATCAGACCCCATGGAACAAACAAAACTAGAGAGGTCTTACCTGATCCAGACCTTCCCCACTCCTCCTCAGGTTCTGGAGTTTGTAAGCAGCCAGGGTTGTCCCATCATCCTGGCAGCACAGATCCAGCACCACGCAGCCCCCATCCTCAAAGGCATTGATTTGGTGGAAACTAGCAAAGGGCTTAGTGCACCACTGCCCTGGCAGCACCTGCCAGCACCATAGAAGAGGGTAAATTTCCTCTCTAACGATCCCAGCCACACCTCAGAGAGTTTTCTCTCCCCCATTTCATTCCCCACACATCCTCTGGTATTTGTCCTGTGTCCTTGTCTCTGCTGCTTTAAGCAAGTGTGTTGGCAAAAGGAGGTGAAGAAAAGCCACCATGTAAAGCAGCCCAGGACAGACCCCTGTCTGCCACAACTCCATCCCTACAGCATCATTCCCAGGCTATGACTGACCTCTTTATGCTCCCTAGGACTTGGGAACTGTGCTTCAGTCCCAGAACCCCAAACTGCCCATTTCTACCTGTTCTTTTAGGGCTGGAAAATAAAATACTCAATAAAGAGGAAAATGCATGATCACATTTCTACACCCCTGTTTACAAAGCTTATGTTGCAGGAACTGCTGGGTTGGTTCACACAGCTATCTGTGGCTGCTACCCAGCACTCTTCTCTTGGAATTCCAGCTAGAGCTGCTGGAAAGGCCACAGATCCACCTACCTCCCCAGTGTGCTTATTCACCACGTGGAAGTAAGTATTGTACTGAGGCTCCCAGCTTATCCCATCAAGAATGGTTTTCCCACGGAGTTTGGAAGTGATAATCTGCAGGAGATTCAGCTTGATGGGCTGCTCAATGAAAATGATGTAGTTCTCACTCATTCCTGAAAAGAGAAGGAAGGAGGTATCACCTGAGTATTAGGCAGATAACAGCCCTTTCTGTGTTAAATCCAGAGCCTGAGCTGGAAAGCATTCTTACCAAAGCTGTGGTAGTAGGAGGGTTTCATCCTGTCCCTTGGAGCAATGGAGCACAGCACTTTTGCTCCCTCCAAAGTGTCACTGCAGTCTGACTTCTGTGGAGGAACCTGGATGATATTATAGCTGGACCCTTGAAAGGAGAAAGAGTGTTTAACACCACTGAGAGGTGAGACTGTTCACAAACCAAAGTCAGGCTCCGTTCCTTTCTGTTTCTCTAGAATCCTAGGAATTGCAGTCATAGCCAAACTGAGCAGAGAACAGGCAGTTCCCAAGTCAATGAAACAATGAACAGAGGATTAAGAAGCAGAAGCATCTTCTCTAGTCTGGTAGCCTGCCATTCAATTCTACTGCCTCCAGTGCATTCCTTATCTTCACTTTGAGTACCCTATAGCCACAAGATCAGGAAGTAAACAATTCTTTTTGTTTCTTTTGAAAACAAAGTTTGTGGTATATCAAGGGAAATGAAAACTGAGCCTCAGTGATGACTGATGGTCCCTTAATAAACCTGAGCAGGCAAGAATGGCACGTTTGAATAACAAGCTGTAGTTTGGTGTCTCCAGCTGAAAACAGCATGTGCTGCAAAGCTGGATTTTGCTTAAGCCAAAAGGGAATGAAAACAGCAAGGATGAAAAGCATCAAAACTGGGCAACTGTTCAGTGTCCTGGAACCAGTATCATCAGAAAGGGCAGGGGCTGTTTCCACAGGCCTCAGGCAACAGAAAAAGAAGGTTTTCATGTAACTCCTGGGGAATTCTAGGTCTGAGCAGCCACTTTGATGGAACTAGATCCCAACTAGATGTAATGCTCATTGTCTTGGGAAGGAGAAAAATATCCCAGGAAAATCAGCTTTGCTGTAAGGTAGCCAAGGTCACTATAATAAATTCCACCTTCTCTCCTGTATAAACCCTTATGGTTCTTGTCTAAAGCAAATCCTTGTGAGTGGAAAATGTGTGGCCAGTTGTCAAAATTCATTGGATGAGGCTTCAAGGCTCAATGGGGTTTTAAAAAAATTATTCTCCTGTTTTCTAAAGTTGGAAGAAGTTCCATCAAACGGAAGAAGGAAATCTGTTGGATGTTCACAGACCAAAGTCAGAAACATCTGAAAGCAATTCCTGAGGGAAGCCATTTTATGGGACAAACTGGCATGCTGACAAAAGGACTAACACAGTCTGAGGTCATTTTGACTAAAAAAAACCACCCCAGCACATTCCAAGTCTCTTTGGAGTTTCTTCACCACCTGCTCCTTGCAGCAAGCAGCAGCCTGCCCTCCCTGCCCACAGCCAGGCCTGGCCATGCCCAGTCTTACCATGTTTCCCATAGGAATTGCCCATGTTGTAGGTTGTCCCATCAGGGTCATAGTGAGGATGAGCAGTGGCCCCGTTCACTGCAATGAATTTGCTCCAGTCCACCTGCAAATGCCAAAGGTTTCCAGTCAGGGAAGGAGCTGCCCTGGCTCTGCACAAACCACAGCCTTTCCAAATGGGGGCTTCATCAAAGTCTGAGGATGAATAACTTGATAATTACAGCCCTACTATGTGGAGTCTGGACTTGAGCCTTCCTTGTGCCTGCATGTTCCTGAAATCCTTGACAATGAACCCTGTTCCTCTCTGTGTTTGTTAGTCCTACCAGTGCAAATGGGACTGACAGCACCAGCTCTTGGTCTGGGATACATCAACATTACCAATGGCACACTGGGAATGCTGCTCCTCTGAGCATTTTAGCTGGGATCCCATGTAATAACCACAGACAGATGTGTGGGGACACAGTCCCTGCCCCCCCAAAAATGGGTGTGTTCCTAACATCTACTCCTAGTTCCTGGGTTAGGGTGTGGTTTGTGCTCAGGCAGCTGGAGGGATGTGTTGGGAAGAAAGTCTGAAGGAAAATTCTGGAGGAAGATGACCCATGCAATCCAAGCACAGAAGACAGGCTGCTTTTCCAGAAGTTTAAAAAATTAGCCTTCAAGTGTCCCAGCCTTTGGAAGGGGCCCAGTAGCAAAGTCTGTCCCACCACTGGGGGCTCAGGGAACCACGTCCTTCTAAGGCATCTCAAATCAGAGTTTAAACTGAAATCATCTCTTCCATTTCTTCACTTAGCCCAAAACAAAAACCAACCAACCAAAACCAATCTGCATCTAAAAAGCAGCATAGGGGGATTTCTTTTTAATGACAAGATGGCTCAGCAGAGCCAAACATTCAAAATAAAAATTCCCACACGTTTTCATCACTGCAGTGTGGTTTATGAAACAGATAAACTGCCAAATAGTCCAACTGTCCATTTCAATAAACCAGTAACATCTGCACTTAGAACCAGAGCTTCCTCATCACTTAACAACTGATCTGAAAGGAGGGAGGGACTCCTGGAATGCTTCCCTCAAGACCTGTTCTTTTTGTGGCAATCAACGGTCCACGGTGACATAGAGGCACAGTAGTTAATGTTGGGCATGGCAGAATCCTTCCTCAGTCCTTCCCACAGTTGTCCAGCCCAGCAAAAATACCCAAATCCCCTCTAAGGTTGCAGGCAGGGGGACATCCAGCTTGTACTGCCATTTCACAATCCTTCCCTCCAAGCCAGCCAGAGCCTGGGAGATGCTGCACAACACACACCAAGGCTGCTGCTCTGACTTCTTGCCCATTTGCTAGCACAGGAGAAAATCAAAGTTGCAGCTGCTCTTTGGCTTGACTTTACATGGACTTGAGCACCCATTTGCAACAGAGGTTTTGGTCAAGGCTTTGAAAGGCTGTTTTGGAGTGTTTAAAGCTGGGAGTGTAAGAAGGAGATAGAGGGAGCAGACAGGAAGGATGAAGAGGCAGGGCAAGAACACAGATCTGAGATCAGTAACTTCTTCCTGTGTGCACTTTTAGTCTTCACACACTGGTAGATACAGACAAGTCCAGACAAGTAGCGAGTGCAGAGGAAGAATGCCAGCTGTACCCTGCAGGAAATGACTCTGTCTGTCTCTCACCTGCCTTGCTACAGTGGGCAGGGGCTGAATCTTCACTCAGGAGAGCTGCCTCACTGCTGAGCAGCTTTCCCAGGGACCAGAGCACACCATGAGGAGATGCTTATGGCTCTGGCCCAGAGCTGCACTGCCCATTTCTTTGGGAATCTTGGTTCTTGTCTCTTAAGAGACAGCAAGGAGTGATTCTCCTGTACCACCAGCTAACTTCCTTAGCCCACCTGCCCACACCTTTTCCTTCGTTTCCAGCGTTTCTGGGTCCATCTTGTACATGAAGATGTTCTCACTGCTGACATAATAGTCTCCTTTATACACCACGTAGTTGACATTAACATTGTCACTGGGTTCTGAAACAAAAGCCTGGAGTCATAGACAGCTTGGCTGAAGCTGGGGTCACATTATAGCAAGTTAGACACGTTTAAACAAATAAACCTATTTGCCACCACACTAATGCCTCTGGATTTATTAGAAATATCTCACTAATCTACAAAGGCACTCAGGAAACTGGCTGCACAGGTGAGGTCAGGATAAAAGGACAAGGATTAGTTCTTGTGGAAATCCCTGGAGGCAACCTGCATGCTTCCACCTACCCTTTGCTTCTGACCTGTTCTTCACATCCCTCTCCCTTTCCTCACCAGCCAAAGTCCTCCCCTCTGGCAGCCCCATGAAGAATCCATGTTTGATTTATAGCATTGGAAACAAGAGGCAAGACTTGAAGCTACAAAACTCGGGCTGAAGGGAGGGACACTGGTTTTGTGACAGGGAATCCTGCTCCTTCCCTGGTCTCTTTGAAACTGAGTCAAGGAGATGCCTTTTTGAGAGTTACACACAAACAACAGCCAGAGCTGGTTGTGTGGGGAGCTGAGACTCATGAGCCAGGTGGCTGAGAAGAGCTGTGGAGAAAGCAGCTCCCCAGCTGAATGCTGTGTGTGGTGAACACGTCCTGCAGTTCCTGCAGTGAGGAGCTACACTCCTGTGTGTGGGTAAAGAGTGAAAGGGGCAAGGGTGGGCAGGAACAGCCTGCTGGGGCTTGGAAGGGAAGATGAGGGATGTAGGTTGTTCTGAAATGCACTGAGAGAGCTGGGATGGGGAGCTGGGGAGCTAGGAAGAGCAGTGAGTGAAGGTATGAGCACCTTTAAGAGATGACATGGCAGGACAGGACCCATCTCCTCAGGAAGGGTAAGAAGCAGAAGATGGTGACACAGATGAACAAAAAGTTGCACTCTTCAGGTCTGTTCTGGTTTGAATGGAAAGTACTGGGCTTGCATTTAAGCCTTTTTCTTCCCTGACATACCCAGAATCCTGCAGGTAATGGCACCTCCATTCCTGGGCACTCCCATCCCTCACCCTGCTCGTATCTCCTGTGCCCTAGTACAGGAAGGGATGGATTAGCCCACTTAACCTACAGGCTTAGCAAGGCAGGGTGTTCTAAGGGCAAAGCTGTGCCTCAGGTAGCAGGGCAGCCTGCAATGCTCATTATCAGGACTCCCAGGGTGTTCTGTGGGGAAATGTTTCTGCTGGGAATTTGCAACAAACTCTGGAATGGAGTGAGCTGAAGTGGCACCAAAACATTGGATAGAACGTGCCTCTCCCAGCTGAGCCTGACACCAACTTGTGGGGGTGTTGTGGTGCCAAGGGGTCACCTTCTGAGAGCAACACAGGCTCAGAAGGGGCAGCACAGAATCTGAGGGGTTGGAAGAGACCTGGAAAGATCCCCCAGCCCACCCCCCCTGCCAGAGCAGGGGCACCCAGAGCACATCACACAGGAACGTGGCCAGGGGGGTTGGAATGTCTCCAGAGAAGGAGACTCCACAGCCTCTCTGGGCAGCCTGGCCCAGGGTTCTGTCACTCTCACAGCAAAGTAGTTCTTCCTGACATTCACATGGAACCTCCTGTGCTCCAGTTTGCACCCGCTGCCCCTTGTCTTGTCACTGGATATCACTGCACAAAGCCTGGCTCTGTCCTCCTGACACTGCCCTGAACGTATTTGTGACCATGGATGAGGTGGCCCCTCAGTCTCCTCTTCTCCAAGCCCAACAGCCCCAGCTCCCTCAGCCTTTCCTCAGCAGGGAGATGTTCCCCTCCCTCCAGCATCTCTGGGGCTCTGCCCTGGGCTCTCTCAAGCAGTTCCCTGTTCTTGAACTCGGGGTCCCAGACCTGGACACAACATTCCAGATGTGGCCTCCCCAAGGCAGAACAGAGGGGGAGGAGAACCTCTCTTGACTTACTAACCAAACTTCCTCACACCTCCCTTTCAACCTCACCAGGTGCCCAAGACAACCTCAGGACAGGTACTTCCCAGACCCCCCTTACGTGGCAGCTGGAAGCGGGACAGGAAGCGCCCAAAGAGGCTCTTGCAGGGGTCTGGCATGGCCAGGGTCCCAAATTCTGAGGCCACGATGCGGTTCTGCTGGAGGTTGGTCAGGTAGGAGCTGCTCTGCAGGAACCTGCTCCGGTAGCTCACGGTGCCATTCTGCAGCTGGAACTGGTGCAACAAGGCCATGCCATCAAACCAGTGGTTAAATCTTCAAGAGAAAGAAGAGAAGGAGAGCAAGGCACTACCTGATGTTCTGCTGGGCTGTTCCCTCTTGCCTTTAGCTCCTGTTGTCTGCAGAAAGCCCAGCTCCCCAGGGCAGTGGTCACAGCACCAGGCCTGCCTCTGTGCACAAAGCATTTGGATGATGCTCTCAGGCATCACCCAAGAATCAGGTAATTCTTGGGGTGCCCTACACAGGGACAGGAGTTGGACTCGATGATCCTGATGGGTCCACTTCCAACTCAGCCTGTTCTATGAACACTTGAACCTGCACAGCCTGGGAAAACATTGACATGGAGTGAAGCAGATCAGGTGCATTTGCAGCCATGGGACCTCAAGTTAGACATTGACCTTCAGGGAAACATGGGCTCCCTATATTGCTTTTGAAAATGGAGCTCAGGGACCTCTATGTATAAGCTTTTTAGGGGTAATAATCTATAGTGGCAAACCAATCACTCTGCAGGCCTCTGCACAGGGAGTGGAAACTGGGCCTTACTCTACAGGAAGAAGAGAATTAATTACTGAAGGAGCCTCCAGCTCTCAGCTGTTTGCAGGATGCTGCTCTCCAGGAAACAAGAAATCTCTCAGACTTTGGGAAAACCTTGTGTTTATCTCTGGAAACATGATGAGATGATGACCTTTGGCCAGTTGCTGCCATCAGCTCTGTGGGAGGAAGAGCCAGGTCTGTCCATCAGCTTAGAATAGCTGCTCCATGGCAGCAGTTGCCTTGAAATATTTTAATATCTCGTTTTTTAAAATGAGCTGGATTTTCTTCCAAAGTGACTCACACAATTTAGTGCCATCAACCTTACAAATCCTGCCCTGGATTTCTAAATGCTCATGGGATGGACTTTTGTTAATGACAAAGGACTAGGAGGGTAGATGCTTTAATCCCCATTAAGGGGGGGATTCCCCCCTCACCAGGTCATTCTGAGTAGGTCACAGCCTCTGTGACTCAGCTTCTCCAACCTTAGTAAATTCATCATGGTCCTATTTTCACAGAGTCCCCCGAGGGTTTCCAGCTGAGGGAGCAGCTGTTCTTAAAAGCATGATATCAGAGATATTTCTTCCTTGCCTTACTTAAACAGAAACTACAAGGTGCTCCCAACAGTGGTGAGACATTTGGGGGGATCTCCTCTAGGTTTTTAGGCAGAGCTCAGGCCAGAACCATGTGACCAACTCACCAAACCTGGACTTACTTCTCCTCACCAAACTCAAACTTCCCAGGACCATTCCTCAGGAGGTTGCCATTAATCCAGTTGGGAATATGCCCTTTGATCTTGGCTGGGATGGGCTGAGGGTTCTCCTCCACTGTCTGCACCAAGGGTGAGATGCACTGCAGCCCCCTCAGGCTGTGGAAGGTGATTTGCTCTTTGAATGGGCTGGGCAAGACATTATTTAAACCTGCAAATAAAGCAGTGAGAATAAAAAGCAGGTTAACTAAGAGTTTCACTGGAATAAAACAGACAGAGCTTGAGCTGGCTTTTCCCCTGGCACCAAAAAGAAACAAACCCAAGCCAAAAATAACTGCATCCCCAAAAGAACACAGAAGTCAGAAAGAACAGAAATGAAACTGAACTGCAATACAGGACAGGACAAAAATGGATTAATAAGATTTACCTGATAAGCAATAGCAGAGAAGGGTCATTTCTGGTGGAGCCTTTTGTTTGAATTCAATACCTGCCTCATTAGGCATAGGTGTAGGGGACCAGGACCAGGGAGGTATGAACTGATTGGAATGCTGTGCTGGCACAGGGAGCCCCAGGCCCCAGCAGCCTGGCTTGCAAAGCCTCAGCAACACGAGGTGCAGGGTGTTGCAGCAATCCACTCAGCTGCAGAGGTAGAGTTACCTGAGAAGTACACGGGGTGTTTGTTGCCTCCATCTTCTGTTAGACTGAACTCAGCTGCAACTGATGAAGGCTTGGGTGCAAGTGAGACACTGCTGGGAAGGCCAGGGAGGCACAGAGAAACCTGACCCAGGTCTGGCACAGGCAAGACAAGACACTAAACAGAATCCAGACTGATGCTGAAATTCCTTCTGATGTTGTAACGCAGCAATTTGTTCTGGTTAGACCAGTTAGACACCTTCACCATTACCCAAGTTCTTAAATCCAGGTGATTAAGTGAAGCTGCTGCAAAACTCACCCATGTGCCTCTGAAACCAGGTTTTCACACCTGCAGAGGAAATTGGCCATTTCAGGCAGGAGAAGAGCTGCAAAGAACTAAGTTGGCAGCACTTCCCTAAGCTTGCTGCTTCAGAACAGCCACAGGCAGAAGGGCTGTTAGGCACCCAGGAAAGGAAATTGCAACATTTCTCCAAGGTAGTTCTCTGGTTTCCCAATCTCAGATGTCTAATATGATAAGTCAGCTAGATAAAGAATATACATATATCCCAAAAAACACCTGTAGAAATAGATTCTAGACTTGGGGGGGGGGAGGTAAAAATTAATTTCTTTAATTCCTGTGAGGTGATCCTGCTCTGGCAGGGGGGTTGGACTAGATGATCTTCTGAGGTCCCTTCCAACCCCTAAGATTCTGTGAAACACTGATTTACACAATCAAGTCCTTGCAACACTTTTCCTAGAAAGGCACTAAGAGTAGCTGGTGAGCTGGGAAAATTTTGCCAGTATCACAGGAAACTTATCAGAGGGAATAAATTTGATGCACACTCTTTTTCTTGTATTATCAGAGTTTCACTCAAATGCCTGAACAAATAATAGAGGTGACTCTTTTTTGACATTCTCACCCCTTAGCTAAACTGAGACAATTCTATATAAACAAGCTTTTTCAAAACAACCTTAGTAAAAGTCAGAGAAAACCCTTAATTTTCAAGAAAAGACAAATGGAGACAAGGAAATCTGGAGTCTTTTCATGTCACTCAGGTAATCCAACCTAGAAACACAGTTCTTTGTGTTCCTACACAGTTCAGCTTCAGAGCACAATGGAGGAGGCAGAGTGCACAAGAATTTAAATTTAGCAGAGATTAAACAAGATTATACAGTTGTTCAAATCTGCTGGCAGATCAAAAGGGCATCAATATATTAATATAGGGCTTGTATTTTTTTCCCAGAAGGAAAGTACTCCCTCATACCCTGAAATGCAGATGCCATGGGTTGTTTTATGCAATGTTCCTCGTGCTAGACTTAACAGCTGGTCATTTAGTTCACAGGAAGTGCCTCTGAGCCTTCTGTCTGCCCTCTCTCAGCTGCAGCTGCTGACACATGCCTTCCAGCAGCATCTGCAGCAAAAAGGAAACCTCCTGGACTCTTCCTAAATGTGCACCCATGGCTGCATTCTGGTGGCACAACAAGGCAGGTCTGAGAACCTTTCAGACCCTTGGATACCCCAGAAGCAACCCCTGGATTCTAAAGGGGAGGAAAACACCAGCACAGAACAGACTGTGGTGAATGAATGATCCTCATTGGTTCCAATCTTGTGGTAACAGATCTCACACCCTTAGACCCCCCAAAAAAAAGACAGCTCAAGGTGTGCAACGATGGTACAAAGTGCAGAGCTCAGTGCTGGTACAAAATCCCACTTCAGCTGGAAGCTTCAGTCGTGCCCCTGCTCTAAAAACCCTTCCAGAGCTGCTCACACAGAGAATCTGCTGCTGCAGCTCTAAACCATCACTACCTGCCAGCAATCCCAGGCAAGCTGTGCAACGCACTCCCCTCTCCTGTTTATCTTCCCCATAAATAACCCATTTTCCAGCTTCCAGCAAACACTAATTGCTTAGTCTGATCAATAGGAAGGAGGCAGCTCTGCCGACCTGTGCCAGCAGCAGCTCGGAACAGCAACAGGGGAAAAAAAAGCCTTTCCCAGAGGATGGAATGGAAGGGTTTGTTTATGGATTTTACCTGGGATGAAAAGCACCAAGGAGCCGAGGAAATGCCGAAAATGAGCAAGCAGGAGGCTGATGGCAGACAGCAGGATTTTGGAAAACATGTTTCTGTGGGGTCGGAGATGGTGCGGCAGAGCGGGCAGGGCAGGGATGGAGCTGCTGCTGCTGCTGCCCTGTCCTCATGTCACAGT